GATGTGAACAAACTAAGGGGTGCCAGAAATGAAGTCCAATCAAAAGCTGTTCAGTTTCTTCTGATTTCATATCCCAAGTGTTAGTCACAAGTAGAAGGATCCAGCTAAGCTAAAATTAGCGCTTCTTTGTTTCCACCTAAGTAAACTTAGGGAAAGTATAGTTGTGTGTTAAAGCATAAGGAAACAATTATGTTCCTTTTGATGCTATATTTTAATTCTTTTTAACGTTGTTAATATTGCTGTGGTTCCCAATTTGTCGTACTAGTTGTTGGGTGTGTCTATGGGTGAGGTCCAAGGTCTTTGTCTCATTTCCTGCATAAAATCACTTTGCGGATTGGATAGCCTAAATTTAAATGCATCAAATTGCTTTTAGTTAAAGAGCTGTAGGAAAACATAATGATTCTGAACAGTTTTTGGATTCTCTCACACTCCATGAGCCGCACATCACATTTTCAACAACAACAACATACCCAGTATAATCCCACAAGTAGGGTCTGGGAGGGTAGTGGTGTGTACGCAGGCCTACCCCTACCTTTGGAGGTAGAGAGTCTGTCTCCGATGAACCCTCAGCTCAAGTAAAAGCATTTCAAAGCAATTCGAAAACCACACATCACATCCTCCTTAAAAAACATAAAAAAAATAAAAACAAAGAGTGATGCAAGAAAGAGCTTCCTCCCTGGATGGTTATAAAATAAAAATAACAAAGAGCTTCCTCTCTGGAGCATGCCTGAATATTTTTGGATCCCATCACTATACTTTTGAATGCTTTTGCAATCCCCAATGAGAGAGAAGCCTTTCTTCCCCTTCGTCCCATTCTTGGTGATAACTGTGCTCCTTCTTCGCCTTTACTTCCTGGTATTCCTCTTTCAATTATTCTTAATAGCTCTGAATACCTCAGTTGTGCTTCATGGTTCCCACCCTTGTAAGGATCAAGTAAACTCTACCTTGAAATATGATATAAATCAATACAAGGTTTCAAAAATCTTGCAGCGCTTGAAATTCATGGATGATGCAAATTGATAAATCTGGCCAGATGAACAGGGCTGGTACCTGCAAGAGTAACAGGGGAAATTTCCTGTATACGCCAAAATATTTACCTGGTATTTTAGAAAGGCGGGATTTTCCAGCAAGATCATAGTTTCTTTGAGTTTGATTTTATCCCATTGTTGGGGCCTGTTATTATTGCTCATAAGTCATTTAGTTAATATGTTCAGAATGTCTGCATTGCCTTTTATTGCACACAAGTAGAAAGTGTTGGGATTTGGTCATGATACTTAGCTTGCTAAATAATGAGATCATGTTTATCAAGGGCTATTATATTTTTGAAGGTTTACTTATCCCACTGGTACATATCTTTTTTTTCCTTATAGGGATCTTGTGTGCTTTTCTATGGCAAATTCCAAAGGGCCATGTACATGAGAAATATGATGTACAATGGGAAGAGCTCTTTACTGCCACCTAAAAGTCCCTTTCCTAGTATGGCCCCATCATATGTCGATTATGTCCCTAGTTCTGCTTTCAACCAAAAGGGCATTCAGAAACCCAGAGAAGGACATTCACACCATCAGCGTACTTCCTCTGAAAGCTGTATTATAGAGGAGCAACCATCTTGGTTGGATGATCTTCTTAATGAGCCAGAAACTCATGTGCGCAAAGGCAGCCATCGACGTTCATCTAGTGACTCCTTTGCATATTTTGATTATGCTAACGCTGCAAACTTGGATTACACAGTTCAAGTTGATAACAAGTTCAGAAATATGCCTCATATCCTTTCCTGGGGGTCTCAAGACTTTGATTATTACAAAGATGCTCGACAAACTGCTTCTTTTGTCGATCAAAACTCCTCAATCCGACGCAAGAATAGGGAAAATGATGTATCTTCAACTACAGTATCACATCTCCGCAGCCTTTCCTCTCCTGGGGAAGATCTCCGTATTCAGAGGTCTGGATCACCATGCCTCCCACAAGACGGAGACATGTCGAGATCTGCAGGAAGTGACAAGCAAGATGTAGCAGAATCTGGCCCTCCTTATCCAAAAGGGTCTGTTGAAAAAAAAGATTCTTCTCAGAGTAAGAGTTCTTCATCAGAAACTGACACAAAACGTGCGAAACAGTAAGTTCAACTCTGCAACCCCTCCATACCACCCACCTTTTTCTTAAAAGAAACTTTGGGAAGGCATAAGGGGATATGTTTGTTAATTTGATATTTGCTTGACAGCGTAGTTCAAGATAACTATAATATTTTATCAGAAAATTTTCTTTTTGTGGATAACTGAGATATTCCCGAGAGCTGTGGCATATGGTTTGAAACTTGGTGAATAAAATGTCATTTTAGCATTTTATGTGGAAGTCCCCCCCTCCAAATATGAAGTTTATTAACATAAAAGGTGTCATAATATACAGGCAATTTGCTCAGCGGTCACGAGTCAGAAAGCTTCAATATATAGCTGAATTGGAAAGAAATGTACAAGCTTTGCAGGCATGTATCAGTTGAACCTTTGAAATACATACACTGGTACCTGGACATGAAATGGATGTTGCATTTTGGTAACTTGTTAATTTGACTAGTTTTTGTGATTTCAGGCTGAAGGTTCTGAAGTGTCTGCTGAGCTTGAATTCCTTAACCAGCAGAATCTTATCCTCAGCATGGAGAATAAAGCCCTAAAGCAGCGCTTAGAAAATTTAGCTCAGGAACAGCTCATAAAGTACTGTAAGTTTCTTTATCTGTTATATTGAATTATTCTGCTTGTTTCTAGTGCTTGTAGTCGTGGACTATTTTGATAAAGTTGATTATGCAGCAGGTCTTGTGAGTCCAAACCTTACATTAGGAATTAGATTTATCTGAAATAAGGATTATATAATTGATTTTTTCATGGTGAATAAAACAACTGCAAGTGAGTGAGTATTGGTTCAAGTGAGCTGGGAAAGTGGACACGGTTTTCCTGGCACTAAAACAAAAGTTTTTGAGTAATGTTCAATTTGATTAACAAAATAGCGGTCTCTAGGGAAAATGGGGACAGTTACTGGTCATCCCAAATACATCAATTCTTGGTAAGAAAATTGAATGATCTTGTCGTAGCCAAGTATTGTGGTCTAGCGGTGAATGAAAACCATGGAAAACCAGGGTGAAAATTCCAACAGAGACAAAGTGCTAGGTGATTTCTTCAGTACTTAAATTGGTGGGAGGTAGCAAGTACCCAATGAAATAAGGAAGGTGTGCGTGGCAGGTGGCCCAGACACTGCAGCTTTTTAGAAATGAAATGATCTTGTTGATAATCTTAATGTTCTTTGAACCAATAAATATGAGAAAAATTGCCTTATTTTCCAGCTGTTTGGAAAACTAGAATTGTCTTCCCTGTGACCCCGTTCTACTATAATTATTTGAAATGTTTTGTATCACTTCAAAAGGCATAAATGTACTCTTCACTATTAAGGTTGTCTTAGGCTCTTAGCACTGAAATAAAATTGTATTTGTTAGTTTAAATGATGTTGCTTGCTGCGACTTGATCCCTTATGATCTCCTTTTTAAGATGGACAATCTAATACTTGATCCCTTATTATCTCCTTTTTAAGATGGACAATCTAACTAAGGTCAAAGTTTCTTGGGCGGGGGGGAGGGGGGGTGAGTAGTAGTACTCTTTTCCACTGCATCTGGATGACCTTAATGTGAACAGGTCCATATTTTCTGCTTCAAGCCTTCAAATTTGCTTACCTTTCAAAATTAACTCAAGGGATGGAAGCTATTCTTATTTACCTCTGGAGCAATGGTAGCATGCGTACAGATTAATATGAATGATTGGATGACTTTTGTGGAGCATGATATTGTTGTTTAGCTTATTTTTATCGCATCTCTCTTTTGCACTTTTTTGGTAAAACGGAAAGTTACTTAGGCAAATAAAGAAAGAGAAACAATGTGGTCGAATTTGCAACTACAAAATTGCTAAATAATTGATCTATTTCCCAAGTCCCACTTTCTTTCCTTGATTCAAAGACCTAGAGTAAACTGCCTTAGTTGAATTTAACTATTTTGAACATGGGAACTGTTCTGTTTTGTCGAATAAGTGGTGTTTCGGAGAAGTTGAACGTATATACAGCCAGTAGTTTATTTTCATTTGTTCCATCGAAATCTGCAACTAATAAATTTATATGCAGTGGAACATGAAGTTCTGGAAAGAGAAAGAGGAAGATTACGAGCATTGTATCAGCAACTACATCAACAGCCACAGCCACAGCAACATAAGCCATCTTACAGCCATCGTCGCAGCACTAGTAGGGATCTCGATCAACAATTTGCAAACCTCACTCTGAAACAAAAAGAGGCTGAGCGTGATGCTGTTTCAGGACAACTCCACATTTGACCGTAACTGTAGTTATGCCTTTAATCATGTCTTACTGACTGTCCCTCAGTTGACTTTGCCATGGAGTGACAAAATTTCACGATTTCCATTGTGCGATATCAAGAAGAGGTCTTGCTTCCCATGTGCTCACCTCCAACGGGTTTGTTCTCCTTCTGTCTAAATTGATTCTAGTTCTTGTTACAACATGTGTCTTTTACATCAAGATTTGTTAAGCTTTTATGTGCACCTGGTGGTCAATGCTAAAGAAAAGCATTTGTCGCAGTTGACTCACCTGAGGTGGTTAAATCCAACATGATATTTCATGTCTTTCTATGTTCGGAATGATTAAATTCATCAGTTTCCCTTTTGTAACATTTTCCAGCTTCTGATTCCCCTCTAATTTCATCTTCATGAACCATGTAATGTAAGTATTGATGGAGGAGCTCATTTCTGCTCATTCATTGTTTCTTCTTAGTGCAATAAAAACATTCTTGTTAATTTTTAACTTTCTATTTAAGCCAAATATGGATACGAAGTTAGGCCTAGCAAACCCTAACCTTACCCTACCTAATATCTGACATTAATTTTTCATGTAAGTATTGCATTTTAATTAAAATCATACGGGTTTTCCATTCTACTAGAGGGATTAATCCACCATTCAATTCAATACATACATAAGAATAAAAGGGTAAAATATGGATTGTATTCATATTGGACCAACTGCTCATAAAACAAGCACTACAAAGGAAAAAAGGATATGCAGATCAAAGATAAATCTTTCAACTGCTGTAAATCCTCGAACAAAACAAGAAAAAAAAAACACAATCTCAATCTTTGAAACATTTAGAAAATACACTCGGAAAGAAAAAACCCATACAAATAAATCACTCAATTATCTTTCTTTTCCCCTTATCAGCAATAGCAACATTCTTGTTCTCCAAGAAACGAATTCTCCTGTTGACAGCAGTAAGCTTTGATTCAACTAGTGTCAAGAGATCTTTCTCTCCTTGTTCTTCTTCTGGTTCTGGAACTGGTGTTGATGATTCCTTATGCTTCTTTTCGGGTTTCAAATTTTGAGAGTAGAGATCAAGAACTTCCTTACAGGCATCCAAATTGTCAGGCCAAGTTTGCAATTGCCCATTAGGACCAGTAATAACAGTACAAACCTTGATATCGCAGAGAGTTGCAAGCTCCATTGATTTCCTTTTTATGCATTCTTTCCTCACTTGATAAGACTTGGGATTGTTTGTTTTCTTATTGCTTTGATCTTCTTTTGCCTTCTTGCTTTGATCTTCGTCTGCCATAGCTTGATTTGATGTAGAGTCCTGAGAAGAATGAGTACGTATATATAGGTGTTTTGGGGGAAATTATAATTAGTATTCCTAATTTGAATAGGAAAGAGAATCGAATGCTCTTGGGAGGTTTGGTCAAAAATTTGCTAAAAGTTTTGGTATGTAAGTGTCCAGAATTGGGAAAGAAATATAATATAGAAAAATAGAGTAATTGTAACTTCCCAAGTTTACTGACAGCTAGGGTAGATCGTCTACGTCACGCTTAGTGGGATGCGTTCTTTTTTTGGAACCTGCCAAGATAAAACCATCCAAATACAACTTAATAATTTGGGTTTTTTTTGGAATATGGTATACAACTTTATTAAGTAAAATATTAAATGAGAGTCCTTTTAGATTTGGTAAGACAATCTTGTGAAAATATTAGTGGTCTTTTTGTTTGACTAGGTACAGATTTACTTTCTCATATTTTCTCGCACATTCCTTTTGTATATAAAGTAAAGAGAAGTTGATTTGGTTAAAGTTTGATGATTAATCAAATTATTGAATAAATAAATGAGAAAAAAATATATTCAATCAATTCATTCTGTTTGATTTTTCCTAATTTGTATTAGGAATAAAATTAAATTCTCTTGGGAGGTCGGTGAAAAATCTGCAAAAGTTTTAATATGCGAATCGGAAAAGAAATACTCCATATATTGCAACTTACCAAATGGTTAGGTCGTCTGTGTTCTTTTCTCTAAACCATGGAATGCTTTTATGCTTCTTTTTTTCTATTGACCCGATTAATTAAGTAGTAAGATTAATTTGGGGTATGAAAAACAACTCTATTAAGTAAAATATTGAAAAAGAGTCCTTTTTGGATATGGCAAGACAACTTGTGAAAATAGCAGTCTTTTTCTCTGATTAGGTATGTATTTACTTTCCTATATTTTCTCGCACATTTCTGTGGTATATAAAGTAAACAGAAGTTGATTAGGTTAAAATTTGATGATTAATCAAATTATTTGAAAAAATAAATGAGAAACCAATTTTGAGTTAATCAATGAATTTTCTTTAAGTCACCACATTAGAATTAATGAATTGTGACACGTAAGTCATGACAGAATCGTATCACTTCATATTATATTCAGCGTACATATTTTGTTTGATTGTTCACAAATCACGTCATATTATTTTTAAAGCTACAAGGAAAAAAAAGAATTCAATTCATCACAAATTAATCAGAATAATTTCATGCTATATATAACCTAGTTATTACTCACAAATCATTCCAGACCTTCAATAATCTTTCAACCCCAACCATGGCCACCCAAAATTGGAGATCCTCAATATGTTGTTTTCCAAAGCTTTCTTTTGAAGTACAACATATAATCGTATCATACTTACATCTATGCTTGTGAGAGACTATCACTGTATAAATTAAGATTAATTACTGGTAACACTTACTTAAAATATTGTTAACATCAAACAAAAGGAGAAAACAATGATGGTAAGTATTGAAGGAGCCAAAAATTGACTAATATTTGGCAGCATTGGATATTTATCAGGTGAAGGCAAAACACACTCATAACCATTGAATGAAATCTTTCTTGGAAACATCCACCCTTCATTAAATGTGAAAATCCCTGCATCTTTATGCAGTAACAACTCACTTTGCACAACCCCACTCCTTCCTGCTTGTAGCAACATGTCATTGTAATACTTAATCCCATAAAACATCCCAGTGTCGTCTGCACAAAAAAAGAATCGATTCATATAGCCGAACCCAGCTGAGTTTGTGTTTAGGCATATATAGTATGAAAGAAATGCATTGGTATAACTTACTTATATCACCATACTGATCAAGGGGCATGTAGTCGAAGCTGAAAACCTGCGTTATACTTCTCAAATTCGGGTGCAGGACCACCAAGTTCCACTGGCTGTAGTTTCTAACTAGGTTTAAGTTTCTAATAGTCATCTTCACCCTCCAATATTCTCTATAACTCTGCTTTACATGCCAATGCACCTGAATTGGGCACATGTGGCGTGTACACTCTAGTATTGGCGTTGGTGGTTCGTTATGGCCTAGTTGTAAAACTGGTGGCACCTCACCACGCCTGTAGTTCCACACACAAGAAGAAAAGACATGTTAGATTAACAAGATATAACAATTTTGTTGAATATGACTTGTTACTCAGACACATATTTTGGTGGAAACCAGAACCAGAGGCGGAGTCAGGATGAGTTATGGATTCTTGGAAACAGCATACACTACCTCCGATCTGCCTGGATTTAGTATAGCATCTAAAGAAGATATGAACCTCTTGACTAAATAATGTACGAACATTGAGGTTAAAGAGTAAGATATTTACTTCACACATTGAGCTGCACCGCGCTGTCCCTGACAACCACAACTGCATACGGAACAGGGCACAATTGTTTCGCTGTAGAAAGCAGACAAGGAAACACAACATGCTGGAGAAGATGATGCTCTAAACTGGGAGTAAGAACAAATCACGTCCCACGTAGCTGCAACCATTACAAACAGATTTAGATTTAAATTGAAAGTTACAGTATGTTAAGGGAAGAATGATCATCCTTCCTATATAGGATGAGTAGGAGTTAGTTTACTTACCAACTGCTTGAGTCTGTCTCCGTCCTTGATCCTCATGGAACTTGGTTGGAGGGATTTTAACGGCAACACCACACGTATATCCAGGAATCCCAAGTGTGAAGTTTTCAGGCATACGAGGCCCGGATCCATCATTTAATGCACTTCCAATGCTCATCTCAAAAGAAGACACATATTTTTCAGGGTCCTGAGTCAAGGATGTCAGAACCCCTCCCTTGCAGCAATTCGCGACCTGCTTATTATACGGAGCTCCAGGAAGGAGATCAAGAATCACAGGCTCTTTCAGACAACAATGTGGCGGGGTGTCTCCTTTGATTGCAGAACAATCACCTTGTTCTGTTGTTTCAGCACCCCACATTTGCCATATTACTTCCTTACCATGCCAATCCCAGCTTAACTTCCAACCAGGTTGCTCTACGTGACGGAAAAGTTGATAGTTGAAGATTGAAACTCTAATCTGAGATAAGACAGAGAGAACGTTCATCTCTACTTCCTCGAATGAGATATGATACATAAAAATAGAAGATAACTAACATAATTTTCAGGTCCATGAACCACAACATTTTAGGAGAGTCCAAATAACATTGTATAGCCTGTGGAAATCACCATATGAAGGGCTTTCTTTGGATTGAATTACTTCTCCTAATTCACTACATACTTTTACTATATCATTTTTACCAAACAAGAACTTATAAAAAACATCAAACTAACAGCTAATAACTAACTATTTTTTCATCTCAGTTATTTTTAAAATTCAATTATCTTACAATCCCTCGTTCATCAGCAAAAAAACTAGAAAGTGGATCTGCCCAAAATCACACAAACACCACCATTACTATTATAACTCAACAACTATAATAACAGTAAAAAATTAAATGATAACAATCAGAAATCGTGAAAAAAAAGAAATACAGTTGTTTATCACAATGTCATTTTTCAGCTAAGGTTCGAAACTTAATGGCCCAGGCCCAGCCCTCTACCACATCACAAACAACACTTACCCTAATATAATGAACAATTCATAGGACTGAGAAGTTGTCTTATCATGCTACTGACTTTGAACCGGATTGCTAACCTTATGAGTATCTTTTATTAATTTTCTGTTATACTATTGTGTGTATTTTAATTGTAACGAAAAAAAACTTACTTGGTGATTAACCTCAGTGCTTGTAGTCACATCCCATCTGATAGTGATATTACCCATTGGGTCCATTGGATCATAGCCATCTGCATCATAACTAAAATTAATCATCACAAAATCTCAAACACAAACAAAATTACATAAGAAAAAAAAAACAGAAAAATACTCACAAACAACTGGATAAATAAGAAATATGAGGTCTAACACTAAGATTAGACCAAAATTACCCATTGATCTTTGATTATTTTTTGAATAAATAAATAAATTAATTCAGTGGTGATTCATACATTCATAAAACTCAAGATTTTGTTAGAACTGTGAAAATGAAGAAGAAAAAAGAGAGAGGAAGATAATACACTGGATTTAGTAATAAATAAAATGAGAATGAATTTAAGGAGATCGTTTTTATTTGTTCAAAAAATAATTAAGACTATATGACTTAGTACTAAGAATGCGTATCTATAGGGTGACGTTTGAATGTAATGTTACGAATTAATCTCTAATTGTACAAAATATGTTACTGCTAATAATGCTTTCCATTTTTGTGACATTTATCATATTCATACTATGTGACAAATGATATTTGGTTTAACGAGATGAATGATAATAGTATATGGATTGTTACGTGAGAATCATATATTTATAGATTCATAATTTAAGAACTTTTTTGTATTTGCGTGGGGAATACAATGAGATTTAAACCCTTTATATCAGGGTGAAGATGTGGACAACTCTCCAACTAAGCTACGTACACCTCACATGTCTTTTAAACTATTTAAGTAATGTTATCTCCAAATTCCAGTCTGTAACAAAGCAAACTTTCCAGAATAATCCATTTTATATCATAATCAAATTAAAGCTCATGTAGCTATTTTCGTACTTCATTTCTTCAATAGGGAGTATATGCAAAATCAAACTACAAACTTACAGGATGCGTATATATTTATTTAGGGACAATAGCAGTTTGGTTCCTCAATTATTGATAAATTTTAATTTTGATCCTTGTGAAATCTAAAAAAAAACACATCTAATCATCAATTAACTGAATTTTTTTTTGTGTGTCAGACTTGAACTCTTCTTTGAACTATATTACCGTTTAATATGGAGTAACAACACAAGTTTAACAAAACACATGAATAACTAAGTGATAAAATGCTTAATAATTATGTTAAAATTGTGAATATTCACGAGCAAAGGGATCAAATATGCACATATCAATTAATTGGACAAGGACAAAAATTAAAATTTAGCAATAACTGAAGGACCAAAAATCCTACTT